ATTTATATATATTTTGATGACTATTCTCATATATTTATACATTCTGAAAAATAAAAAATTATCGATTTTAATTGGTAGGGCCTCTAAATTTAAATGGCTTTCGTTAAATTATAAGATATTGCACAAATTAACCTTTAACCTTTTCCGGGTATTGATCTGAAAAAGTAACATAAATTTAAAAGCAAATACTTACAAATACAAACCCGTTATAAGTAGGATGAGAGTCAATGATCATTTATCTTGAGCTAATTTCTACACTTCGCCAATAAGCAGCGGCTCAGCTCATACCAGCTAAGATTACGAAGAATAATTCAAGCTGCAACACAACTCTCCTTGACCTATTGGTTGAGAGTTTAGGCTTCCAACTAAAAGGTCCAAAATTCGAGTCTATGGTATGCGTTGTGTGTGTGAGTTTGCCTTAATTGGCCTAAATGTCCCAAAAAAAATTCAAGCTGCAATGGCCGAGGGACCCAAAATCCCAAGAAAATTTAAGAAATCATTAAAATATGTAGCGGAACAATAAAAAAGGTGGATAATTAAAACTAAAGTGGCAAATCTACTTTGGTTTTATTTTAATCAAATGAGTCATCTTGCTTAAACGATGTGCTTACTTGAAATAGATTAGATTCAACTAATAATAAATCCAAGATATATTGGACTCAGAATTATTATTTTCGAAGTAGCTTGTGTATTTAACCCGAGCTGAAGTTGAAATTGGTTAGCTCAAGATCGATAAATTATTCAAGTAATATGAAAGATTTTGATATAAGAATCGAGTTCTAATCATATAGAGGAATTTAAATTAAATGAAAAACATACATAGGAAAACTGGCAGCGCCATCAAATTTGCAAGACATTTAGGTCTCAGTTACAGAATTTGCCTCTAAATAACTGGAGACAGATCTGGGACATGTTATTCTTCAATCACGTCCCAAGTTGATTTCAACCGATTTTAAATTGGGATCCCCAATGATTTTTTCAATTTTTCCACCTCCAGATATACGGTAGAATATGGAAGGAACTCCGAGAAGTGGCTTTGCATAAGATCGTTAATAGCCATAGCTAGCAATGGAATCTCTTTGATCTCATCATAGGTCAGCTGACGGACATATCTTGCCGGGTTACCCGCCCAAATTTCGCCGGTGGGGATCCTCCGGCCTGGTGGAAGCACCGAACCAGCCTCAAGTATGGAATTGGTCTCTACTAATGAACCTTCCATGAGAATGGAATGCTGCCCAATTATGCATTCTGGCTCGATGGTGCATGACCGCAATAGACTGTTAGCACCAATAGTTACATAACGCTCAATCAATGTCTCTGCCGGTAGCCCTGATACAGTTTGAATTTGATAAGAGGTGTTTAGTTCAAATTGTTAC